GAAAAGTTGGGGGGCCAGGCTTTGAGGGGCACTTTTCGAAAAAAAGGGCGTCTCCAAATTTTTTGTTGGCGACCTCCCCCCCCCCGTCGCCAAAAAAATTTCGCTCACTGTACCAATTTAGGGGTCCAAAAAAAATTTTCCCGACATATCCCAAAAATATTTTCAGGATAAACAAAATTTTTTTCGTAAATACTAAAAAAATTTTCCGGAATATAAACAAAATTTTCCGGATATATGATTTTTTCCGCAATTTTTAACATTTTTTCAGGAAATAACGTACATTGAAGTTTTCAAAAGTGCACCTTGGGCTAAAAATACAATTTTAATGAAAAATTTTCACGCACAAAAAGGGCACTTTGCTTCCGGAAAAAGGGCACTTGCCAAAACTTGGGGGGGCCTTGGCCCCCCCTGCCCCCCCCCCCGGTTCCTACGTCCCTGATCTAGCCTGCGACCCTGCGTCACAGATGCTCGTGGGCGGAGATGAGGGCACTAAGTCTAAACATGATCAGGTGCAGTGGTGTAACTGGAGGGTGTCCAGGTGTCCAGAGACGGGGGGCGGCCCACGCCTGGGGTCCCCGGGCAAAAATGACCATAACATTTTTGCTAGTACATTGGGCAAAGCTTCAGTTATAGAAAGCCCGAAAATTTGCAACGGGTGGCCCCAAAAAGCAAGCAGGAATTAGTGAAATTTAGACCCCTTTTTTAGTAGACATGGATGGGGAAAAAGTTTTGTGAATTGTTTTAGTTGTCATAGTACGAAAAATTGTTTGAACCCCTTTTTTCAATAAATATGGTTCGAAAACCTTTTTCTCTCTCCCCCTTCCCGCTCGCCAACTTTTTTGGAAAAAATAGGGCCCCCACTTAAAAAACCTCGCGGTTGCGTTACGCCACTGATCACGTGCATAATAAAAAAGTGTTTGTGCCCAATTGTGGCAATATTTGGGGCGCTAGTCCGCACTCTTGTTATTGGGGCACTTGTGCACCCACTCAGCCTCCCACTTCTTACGTCAGTGTAGGGAAACAAGAATGCTTCTTCACATGGAGAGAACTACAGTCTACAATCTGTCATTAAACTTGAGTTTTCCTATTTTAAATTTTTTCACAAAAATATAATTCTTACCGAGTCACTGACTCATACCTAGTTACGGGCCTGTAAACCTATGTGCGGATACCCGAAACCTTGTAACCGCTTGACGATGCTTTACCAACCACCCCCGCACCCAACCAATCACGCTCTCCCCAAAAACATATAACAAATAAAATTCTCAGAACATAACTGTTTTGCAAATTATTGCAATCCATTTTCTGTATTGAAATATTTAGCGTAGTTAATACTATTTATATACCCCTGGTGAAAATGTGGGTCAGATCTAGAAAAAAAGGGAAAACATTAATCAAAATCTTAATACCAATTTTCATACAAAAACGCTCAAAACACCAATCATTAACTAAACAATTGTGAAACAAACGAAATTATTTGCTCTCCAGTTAGTTGCAACCCTGCCAGATCTTGTTGTAGTGAATATTGCCTCGACATCTTCATCGTCAGAAGCATCGCAGCTCCTCCATTCCATCTTTCCTTCATCTTCCGAGGATTCGGGACTTGATAACGCAGCTTTTGCGTCTAGGACAATATCGATATCACTGTCGTCCGATTTACTTTCAGACAACTTTCCCTCATCTTGGTCAAAGTGATCTGGCTGAGGTGGGGCCTGAAGTGTTAATGAGGCAATATGGGAACTAATAAGTGTCAGTGCAGGGGAGCCACCCGACTGTAAAATAACGTAATCAAAGACTGTTCAGATTGCAGAGATGTCAAACTAATAGGTTCCGATCGAGGCACTTTCATAAATACAACTGTGCTACATTGCAATTTATTACGAACATTCAGGAACATACACTCGATTTTTTTAAAGTATATTGTATTATAAAAGTCTGTAGCTTTATTAATCATAGACATAGTATTCGACTCATTGTTTCCTACCCCCACAAATGTCGTAATTCGTCTCCACACACACACACACCCCACACCCACACACTTCACTCCCCCAATTCCCACCCCCCACCCCACCCTAAATGTTTGTTTCGTCCCCCTCCAACTTACCCTCCACCCTCCAGTACACGTACTTTATGACCGGTCCCCATTCGTACTCGTAGTCGCTGCTAAACCACTCCATATTCGATACAAGCGATCCACAAAAACTAACGGTTCCACTTAGCTTGTCACTAAAAACTAACGGTTCCACCATAGCTGTGCTAGCCAGAGGCGCCCTTAGTTGGCCTTCGATGCCATCCGTATTTGGCTCGCAATTCCCCGGAGGGGTAGCTGGCCGGGGTTAGGGTCTGCGGTTAGCTTGCGGGGTTAGCAGGTGGGGTTAGGGGTTAGGGGTTAGAAGGTGGGGTTAGGGTTAGGGGTTAGGATTAGGGTTAGGGTTAGGGTTTGAGTTAGGATTAGCGTTTGGATTAATTGTAAATCCACTGTAACCAATACCTTATTGCATACAATGGCATTACAACGCCAATAAATTATTGGTTACAACGTGCGGAACGGCTGGAATGTTCATGTAATATTTCAAATCCAACTATGAGGACTGGACTAGATTTCAAGTCCGCGCAATTTGATTAAGCTCGACGTCGCAAAGCCGGGGACTGAATCATGGATCGTGAAATAACTGGATAGGAAACTTTGTGATGTCATAGTCTAAACCTAGTTGCAACTTGCTTTTTAAAACACAAATTAAAATCGAAAAAAAATACCAATTTAAAACCAAGCAGTTAATGTTTGTAAATATGACTAAGCCACAATAAAAGGTTAAATCTACTTGTTGAAGTATGCCATGGGTAAAAATACACAGATTAAATACTCTAAATATGCGTCACAAAATATGGAATAAATCGGGCAAAATAGGCTGCTATTGGCGACGCAATTTTCTCTGTTGTAAACTGACAATAATGTAAACAATAAAGATGAACACTTGCATTAAGAGTTGTTGTGTGGCTTAGGCGGGTTCATTTTGGCCATAGATCAGTATAAAATGCCAAAAGACAAGAACAAACGCATTTTTAAGCAAAAAAACATGAAAAGATAAAAAAATCTCAGTCATGCAAAAGCATAAGCGGAAAATCAACAATACTTCGCCATCATTCGCCATTGTTGACATCACGATTTGCAACTAGTTCCAACATCTCTCGAGCAAAAACAAAGACCTTTCAGCCAATCAGCGGGATGAAAAACACGTCATGTGACTACAGTGCTAGTTTCTTATCCAGTTATTTTACAATCCATGCTTACTAAAGTGAGGTGAATTAATTTCGATCCAGTCCTAGGACTGGACCAATATACTTCACCAGGTATCCAGTATTATCGTGAGCAAAATAAAGCAATACGGTTGGCTAACTGTTTACCATGAATCATTAATGAGTTTGAGATGGTGAATTTAAGCTCACATTTGGCTGAACACTTTAGGCAGCGAAAGAAATTGAAGCGAAAACAACAACAAACGAAAATTGAACATGAGCACATGGTTCAAGTCGTTGGGCGGTTTATGAAGGTAGATCAATTCAGCATATATGGCATATTAATTTCATATATCACTATTATTAATCAAAGACCATTGTCGAATGAATATCAATAATCACTATTATTATACATTGTAGTTGGTAAAAGCAATTTGATTGGCTAAGAGCTTACAGTTAAATCGCGCAATCACGCAACCTACACAAAATTCAGTTATCTGCTAGCAGATAACTCAGTTATCTGCTAGCAGATAACTGAATTTTGTGTACTTTGCGTGAAATTGAATGAGTGTACATTTCAAATGAGTGTACATTTCAATTTTCAAATGAATGTACATTTCATAATTGTAATGTTTACTTTAACAAGTAAATATTTTAATACGTTAACATCTTAACGATAATATGTTTCTTTTATATTTGTAATTAATTTAACTGTTGGACTTCTGGAGACTTGTTTATAGAAACGTTTTACTTGAACAGCTTTGCCAGAAATCATATTGAATATAACGCTTACCAAGACCTTGATAATTTTGCATATCGCAAAAACCGAATTCAATAATTATTTTATTATACATTTGAAGAATAATTATTCTTCAAATGTATAATAAAACAATTATTGAATTCGGTTTTTGTGATATGCAAAATTATCAAGGTCTCGGTAAGCGTTATCAGCCTCGCCTTCGGCTCGGCTGATAACGCTTACCTCGACCTTGATAATTCCGCATATCACAAAAACCTCATCCAATAATTGTTAATTATATTTCTCATTAATTTAATTATCGTGCATGGTAATCCATAAGCGATAATCTGACTCAAATATTCAACAGTCAATAAACTGTTTTGAAGGCGGCAAGTTGATCACTGCAGCGCTCGTAAAATCAGCATTCGACTATATAGAGGATATAGTTTTGATATATAAGGCTCTTCCAGTTTTGACAATTTGTAACTATATATAGTTGCATTTTTAAAACTATAGGCTATACAATACCATTGAACGAGGGTCTCACATTATATTGATATGTGAGATAATGTTTATTTTGAGCCGAAAATGGGATTAAAGGAAGAAAAATGAGCTGATTTCAAACATTTTATGATCAAAAAGTATTTTCAGTATTTTCAAAAATTATATTTTTAAATATGTAGGAACTTGAAGTGAACAATTTAGATGAAGACAGTATAATCAACGAGCAAGAATTTCGTGCTGTTTTTGAAAATGTAAGTCGATCGATCCTTTTACACGTCTCAAGCACTATAGAAGTTAAACAGTTAAAATTCTAACAGTTATTTTCTTGTATTTACAGTCAGTGAATCTATTTCCTGATGATTTACGCTTGTTGTTTGGAGAAGATTGCGAAGTCATGGAAGCATTTGCTCAAGTAGATAGAGACGATGATGGAGAGGTATTAACGACTTTGGAAGATAGTACGAGATCGACTTGTGCATGCAGTGGTAATAAAAAATTATCAATCTTGGAATTTTATACAAATAATTGATTAATTCGCAACCACGCGTTGTACTCTTAACGTTTTCTATGGTCAATACATGTAAAAGTTGAACTTTAGAATGAAAGACATCTGATGAAACAGGTCAAGTTGGTCCAAGCTGACACTCAGGGTTTCACTTCCGCTACCACTTGAAACCAGCTGCAGCGGGTTTCGGGGACTAGCGGAAGTAAATACCCCGAGTATCAGGTTTTGTCTCCACGGTCAGTAAAATCACGCGGTAAGCAGAAAAGAACATAAATTTTGCGATTGCACCGTCATGGCTTCTGCCGCTTTGGGCTGTAGCAATGCAGAAGCCCTGAAATTGAGGTTGTAACTAAAACATTTTCCCACCTTTTGCTATGGTATTTGAAAGAAGTACTATTCAGTCTAGGCCATAGTTCATTAATGAAATGTACACTTCTTGTCGACGTTGTTGTTTAGATAACGTTTCAAGAATTAATGGCATTTGTTGCAAAAAGAGGTGTGAACTTACAGAAACGATTTCTTGGATACACAAGAAAAGAAATCAGAAATCTCGGAGATTTTGTTCAAACCTTGCAGGTATATATAAAAATTGTAAACTACATCACCTCGACACTTTCATGTCAACTGCTTGGTGCCAAAAAAGAGCTTTTTGATTCTCTCGGTGATAATATTTATAACTTCTTTTTTAGACTGCATTGGCGGTTAACGTTAAACGTGTGTATGTTGAGGTAAGTAATACCGTAAATTTTCCTTATTTTAATTAAATACAACATAAAAATGTTGCCAAATTATTGGTAATCTTGAAGAAGACAATTCATTACAAAGTACTGGGACAGATCAAAACTGATTCACTTCACTTTGGGTGATTGATTATGAGTGTGACTGTGAGATGTCAAACCTCACATTTGTGTGAGATTTCAAACGTTGGAATTCCTCGCAGTTAGCTTCAGTAAACTACTTGGACTTGAAATCGCGCCCAGTTCTCATTCTCCTTCTCAAATATTACATGCAACAGAAAATCATGATAAAAGAACGAAATTCACATCTTTAATTCATCTTATAGTTAATTCTGAGTTTGTTTCAGCAGTTTGATATACATACTGAAAGAAGTATTTTATAAAATTATGGAGTTTGGACTAAAATTCTATCTAACCTACTTTTAACCTACTAAACTTCTTTTCATGATCAAATGTAGCAGTGGCGTAATTTCTTTGGACGCCGCCCGGCAACAGCTGGGGTCGCCAGGTCAGTTAGGGACCCTGAGAGCAAGGATAACAAAGTCGCGATGTTGAAGTATTTAAAAAAATTACATTTTTGGCGTAGTCAATCCCCCCCCCCCCTTCCTGGTCGCCATTTTGAATGGGTAGAACGAGGGGGCCTTCAGTTAACTCCGTGCGGGCCACTGAATTCTAGCGATAAGAAAATAAAGTTAATTGGCGTTGAAAGGATAATATCGATCGTTTTCTGATAAGAAATGTTTTCTTCTATTCATGCATGGTTTAGAAACGAGACGTTGATCGAACTGTTGGCATAGATACAGACTATGTGGAAACTAATGATTTTAACTTGGACTTAGAAGATAAACATTTTCTCATCGAGGTAAATATAAAAGTGATGCATTGCATCTTCAATTTCCAGCATTTATTAAGGTTGAATCATTACATATCTATAGGAAGGGGCAGGGAAAATTTTCTTAATTTGCCTATATATATTTTCTTAATTTGCCTATATATATATATATATATATATATATATATATATATATATATATATATATATATATATATATATATATATATATATATATAT